AGGTAATAGAGGCATAAATCACACTTCTTTAGATGCAGGCGGTAATCGAACTCATGCGGAAGTGGCTTCAGGTTCTCAGTGCTGTGCTTTAACCCGCTGCGCCACCAGGGAGGGCCTGTTGTTAGATTTTTTAATATGTGCCGTTCTTACTGGTGAAAGGTGGTATCTCACTGTGGTTTTGATTTTCATTTCCCTGATGATGAGAGATGTTGAATATGTTTTCATATACTTGTTGGCCATTTTTCGGCAGATTTTTAGAAACTTATCTTGACCTTTTTTTTCAGGTCAGGTCAGTAGCAATTATATCCAGTAAACAGACAAGGAGCTCTACAGGAGCTGTCAGTGAAAGCCCAGTCTTCATCCTGAAATTTCACTCACCTCCCTTCAGAGGGGCCCATCAGGAACTCAGGGGGGATCTCTACTTTAGCCAGTCTTTGTCCTGGCCTTCAGTTGTGAAACTACATCTACATTCCAATAAATATACAAAGGACACCAAAGAATTGGGTGGTTTTTTTGTTTGTTTGTTTGTTTTGTAGTGAACTAAATTGTATTTACCTTGGATGAACATCAGTGGGATTATTGGAGTATTAATGGATGGTGCTGAAAGGGATTATATTAAGGGAAATAAGTCAGAAGGAAGAAGTGAAATGTCTGATGGCTTCACTTACATAGAGAATAAAGAGAAACTGAGCGAAGGTCACAGAAATGAGAAAACTTCAAGCTGACCATACATCTGAGGCTTACAGTTAGGGAGGGAGTCACACTCATGTTACACAGGAGAGGGAAGAGCACAAGGTACTATGTGATGGTGCAAGGCACTGTTGGAGGTGGAACTATGGGGTCTGTGCCTGAAGGGAGAAATCAAATGATTTCCAGAAATGAACATGATGTAAGAATATGACTAATTAAATTTTTAAAAATTAAAAAAACAAATTGCATAAATAAATAAAATGACCTTATCAAGTCACTGATGATTGAAAGGATTTCTATCACATCACAGAGCTGAATGACTTTAAATCAGTAGATCAGCATTAGATAACATGCTGGAAAATATCATGTTATTTAGAAAAGCCTAGAATTAGTTTTCCTTACAATCAAATTTCTTTCAAAAAACATATACAATTTATTTTTTCTTCCAATGTTTCTGCTTGCTTCTTATATATAGATGTTTAATTATTATAAATTAGTTTTTTGAGATGAATATCAAGTGGAAATATGATTTTGTTATATTCAAAAATCTATCTAAGTTTCCAATATTATTTGCTGAATAATGTGTCTTCTTCAATGGTTTAAAATAGCCCCTTTACAAACTAAATTTCTGTGTGTATCTTTGAGCTGATTAATATTTTGTATTCACTCCTTTCCACCTTTGTCTTTTGTTGTTTTTGATATCTAATCCCTTCACATCTACCTTTGATTTCATAAGTTTCCTCTGATTTTCTCCCATGTGAGTTTTAAAATCAATTAGAAAGTGAATAGGAATCAACAGTAATTTGCTTCAGCAGGTTCTATATTGATTTGTTTGACCACTTAATCATTCAACATGTATTTGGGTATCTAATATATAAAAGCTTAAGTAATACAAGAATATTTCTTCTTCTGAGTTTGTCATTTCATGAGATTAATATTGAAACTAACAACCTGTTATGGGAAAATTGCTTTAATCAGAATGAGAAGGCTAGGACAAACCTCCCAACTAGCTCAGATTGGGGGCCTCCTGGAGTATGGAAATGGTCAGAAATAAAACATAAGCAATCATCTCACCAGTCACACTCATGTTATTAAATATGCTTCTCCTTAAATTATTTACTTTCTGTGTGTCATTCTGCCTATTTTTTTTGCTTTCTATAGCATATTTTTAGCTTTTTTGAAATTTTTCTGAAATTTTATCATACATACTTACATAGTCCTTTACCACAAAGCATTCTATCATGTCCATACTTAATATGACACATGGAATTCAGACACACATATGAAAAATATTATTCATAACATTTTTTCCATTTTATACAAAATATGGCCCCTGAATTAGCAAATTATGACCATGAATCTTTTCTGTTGTCTCCCTCTTTAAGTTTCAATTTTACCCACTCCTCTCATACCTGACACACATCCCTCCCACACTCACTAATACAAACATTGCTGCCCTTTTTATTCTTCTTTCCACCCAATTGTAGCTCTTCAGATTGTTTTCTCAGTTTACATGAAAGAAATAAGAAAGGGTTGAGGGATAGGTGGTGATGGAGGAATACAGGCTGATAAAATGTGTTCATATCTTGTGTGAAAAATATTTTCTCCAAGTATTTGTATCTTTTGTCTCTATTAAGCCTGGCACAATCCTAATTATGACCTGTGCGCTCACCTCCTCTCTTTCCTCTCACCTTTTTTACTGCCTGCTGCTTGTTCAAGAACCCACACAGACGAATTCACAGTTAACAAAGTGGTAGGATTAAAATTCATCAATTTTTCTCATTATATGTTAACATTGCCTGGCCTGTAGAGAGCCTGTGCTAGGAGGGATCAGCACATCCAGGTGTCTCATGATCTCCAAGGAGCTCCCACTCTCCTGCAGGTTCACTGACAGACCCCGGAGGTTCAGGGTGGAACACCTGGATCAGCTCCTTGTACGCGATGATGAGCTTTCTGAGCTCCACATTCATCTGTACACAGCTCCTTTCACCATCAGTCACCTAAAACATTGTGGGAATTTATTGCCATCAAAAAATAAATTGTGGAACCATGAAAGTGAACATTAATATCTGTTTCTTCCTGTGACCATCAGTCTGTCAGGCCTCATGGGCCAAAACTCGTGGGTTTTCTTTCCCTCAGTCACTTGAGGACCAGCTCCTGAGACAGCATCAGACAGACTTGTAGCCCCAGAAACCCCAAGATGCTGTCACATCTGGATGACAGGCTCTGGCCTCTTTAATGCCTTGGCTCTGTTGACTCTGGGCTAGTCCATCTCAGCAGTAAGTCTGAACGCCCACCACAGGGCAATGTCCTCAGCTGTAGTTTCCTGACCCCTAAATATGGACTTCACATTCTAACACCTCAAAGTGTCCATGTTTTTGGGAGTCAGTCATTCAAAGTGACCCTGCAAGTTCTTCTGGACTTCTACTTAGAAACTAACTCATGGAAAGGCAATTCTGACGGTCAGATTCTCTCCACTCTTGGTCCTTAGAAAAGAAAAGTCCACATCATTGCCTGCACATGCTGTTTCCTATGCCACTGGCAGGCCATGGACACTCACTCACTATTCTTTTCTCTAGGATTAGCTGTGCGTCTGGCTGGAGGGGGTGAGCCCTGCTCAGGGCGAGTGGAGGTGCGTTCTGGAGGAGACTGGACTCCAGTGTCTGACGGGAACTTCACATCGCTCACCGCCCAGGTCATCTGTGCAGAGCTGGGGTGTGGCAAGGCTGCGGCTGTCCTGGGGGGTGTATCCCTCAGAGAGTCAGATGGACGGGTCTGGCCTGAGGAGTTCTGGTGTGAGGGGCAGGAGCAGAGGCTCTGGCTCTGCCCCAGGGTGCCCTGTCCAGGAGGCACCTGCCACCACCGCGGGGCTGTTCGCCTCGTTTGCTCAGGTGAGACCTGAGCTGGATTCAACCTCCCTGCTTACTCTCCTGGGTAAGAAACACATGAGCTTTGGCTGAATCTCTGTCTTCTCCTCCCAGCATACACAGAAGTCCGGCTCATGAACAGCGGCAGCTCTCGCTGTGAGGGGCTGGTGGAGATGCGTATTTCAGGGCACTGGAGGGCGCTCTGCGCCTCCCACTGGAGTCTGGCCAATGCCCATGTTGTGTGTCGCCAGCTGGGCTGTGGGGTCGCCCTGTCCACCCCCGAAGGAGCACACTCTGGGGGAGCAGCTGCCCAGGTCTGGAAAGCCCGATTTCACTGCTCGGGGGCTGAGTCCTCCCTGTGGAAGTGCCCCGTGACCGCCCTGGGCGCTCCTGACTGCAGCCCTGGACACACGGCCTCTGTGACCTGCTCAGGTGAGAGGGGGCTGACTGCACTTGGGGGGCTCAGGTCCCTCAGAGCAAGGTGTGGGCAAACTGGCTTCAGATTAAGGATGGATTATGTAGTATAAACCTTGTCAAAATGTATTCATTTATACTCTTTTTAAAAAAGATTTATTTATTTATGCATACAGAACTGGGGTACAGGCAAGAGGTGCAGGGGTGGTGAGATGATTCACCAGAGACAAAGTCGGGAGAGAACAGACAGGCAGACTGACGAAGTACACTGCTGAGGGGAGCAGCAAACTAGATAGGAGAGGTTTGCTGCGCTATGGGGGATCGAACTTCCATTGAATTGGCCGCAGCCTGATAATGCTGCACTTTAACCTGTTGTACTACCAGGGAGGGCCCTATTCATATACACTCTTTTTTTTTATTTTATTTTACAGCAGTTTATTTTTACATCATTTTGTACATTTTTTTTTTCATCTCAATTGTAATCCCCGCTGGTTTCCCATCACCAAGTCACCCGTGTGCCATCACCATAATCCCGTGCATTTCCCTCCCCTCATATACACTCTTCATGTAGGTGTTTTATTGCATGACAAGTACACGTTAATACAGTTTAATTTTTCTACCTGTTTTTTCTAGGTTAGTTATCTGTGATCAAAATATATGATTTTTATAGCTTGTTCTTAGTTTTTCCTTAGAAAAACATTTGGAACTCATTTTACCATAACATACAATTATTTTTGGTAAATGGCCTACATGCTCTTAAGAATAATGTGTATTCTTCCACTTTGAGGCATACATTTTGCAAGTCATACCATTCAGATATTCAAAATACCTACTAATAGCTTTCCTGAAAGAGAAATGTCTTTCACTTTTATTGTCTGAATACACATTGCTTCAAAATATGATCATGGAAAGTAATCATTTTGGTTTTCTTCTTCCAGTCACATTTTCTTCATGGCTTAACCTCTCACCAATAGTGCTCTCTAACCCAACATCCTTCTGCTAACAATCCCTTCTGACTTCTGCCACCGCCTTGATCCCAAAGGAACATGTGTTGGCTCCTGTGACTAAAGATGGTCTCAACTTCCATGCACACGTGCTGCAGACACATTTTCAATTCTCTGTAGGAGAAGCTTAGTTGAAGAAAAGCATTTCTCTTCCTTTTTTAGATTCCATGACAAATATACTGGTAACTGTTGTGATGCTATCAATTTTCCCCAAAAACTTAGCAACAGAAACAAAATGCATTTTTATTTTGCTGTGATACCCTGTGTTAAGAATGTAGGGAAACTCAATGGCAGTTCTCACTGGTGTCTTCACATCACTGTCATCTGGGCTGAAGTCACACAAGTGCTGCCTGACCTGAGCGCCCAGGATGCTCCCTGAGGGGATGGCAGACCCCTGCCTGTGGCCTCTCCCCGGACAGGCTCCGCCGAGCAGCTCCCTACAGCGGCGTCCTCAGTGGGGCTGGGAGGCTGCGGGGGTCTCTTCTGTCCTGGTGCCGGAAGCCAGCAATGTTGCCTCTGCCGCATCACGCTGCCTACAAGCCAGTATGAAGATCAGTGGAGATGCAAGGGAAGGAAACATAGACCTCACTTTTCAGTGGATACAGTATTCAAGATTTTGTGGATATGTTTAAGTGTATGAGGATGTACAAAATGTCCCCCTGGGATAGTGGATTTTAGTTTCTACCTTTCCTTCTTTCATTGGTGGGTTTAAGGATCTAATACTTCATAAATATGCAGCTAAGACTTTTCCACCCTATCTTTTGTGCATCTTTTGATATCTTCTAGTCTCTTGTCCTGTGCTGTATTTTGTATAACTCTGATCTTCCTTATTTATAAGGATGAATTTACAAAGGTCTCAAAGGGAAAGAAACTCACTCCTGCTCTTTGCTTCTCTAGGAGCACCTGGCTCCAAAATTCTCACTGTCCTGGAAGCTCTGCAAAACGTTCAGACACAATTGCCATATTCCCACTTTCTTAAATTCATTCTCAGTATTTGGCCTAAAAACAGAAATATGAGTCATTGGGGGCACAATTTCTACACAGAAAGTAACTCTAAAGTAATGATGCCATGACTGTCCGATGACAGTGTTCATACCAGACTGCACCAGAGGTTATCAGGCAGTCTCATTCAGTTTTTTTGCTCTTTAACCCCACTAATGCTCTGACCTCGCTGCTTTGCAGGGAACCAGACCCAGGGGCTGCCCCTGTGCACCCACTCCCCGTCTCCAGGCTCTGCAGCCTCAGAGGAAGATGCAGCCAAGTGCTCAGGTGAGGGATACTCAGAACCTGGAAATCTGTCTTCTTTGTGGGTTAGAGGCAGTTTTGACCTGACTCTCCCTCCTCAGACAGCCCACAGCTCCGCCTGGTGGGCGGAGGCCATTCCTGCGCCGGCAGAGTGGAGATCCTGCGCCAGGGCTCCTGGGGCACCGTGTGTGATGACGGCTGGGACCTGCAAGATGCCCACGTGGTGTGCAGACAGCTGGGCTGTGGAGAGGCCCTCAACGCCACGGTCTCAGCTCACTTCGGGGAGGGATCAGGGCCCATCTGGCTGGACGGGATGCAGTGCACAGGAAACGAGTCCCACGTGTGGAAGTGCCCGTCCCGGGGCTGGGGGCGCCATGACTGCAGGCACAAGGAAGATGCAGGGGTCATCTGCTCAGGTCTGTGCTGCACATTGTCCTGGGACTAAGGGAAGAGACTGAAGGTGTGGGGGAAACACTCTTAAGGACAGAGTCTGAAAGTGAAGAGGAGAAAGCAGTTTCCTCCAGAGTATCTGACTTGCTAGCACTTATGACGATTAGGTGTCTTCTTCCTTGCTGTGGTAGCTGATGGTCTGGTCCTTCTTTCTCAGTAGCTTCTCCTGATGGAGCCACAGCCCACAGTTTCCATTTGAAACAGGATTCACTCTTCAGTTAGGGATCAATAATACAGAATCTATAATATGGATTCTTGAGTTCCACTGTACTTGTATCTCCTAGCTGTGACTGCTGTATATGTCTGTCTCCACCCCATACGTGGTTATTAGTGATGTTCTATTTCTACAGAATTAGTGGTTAAAGCAACTTATATTATCATCTTACAGTCTTGTATGTTAGTAGTCCATCACCATCTCCCCGGGGTAAAATGAAGCTGTGAGCAGGGCTGCATCACTTCTAGGTCCTGGGCAGGAGTGTGTTGCAAGCTTCTAGAACCTGTCTGCATTCCTTGGCTCAGAGACCCCTTCCTTGGCCGTCTGACCAGGAGTGTGGTACATCTCTAACCGTTCTCCAGAATCACCTCTCTCTCTCTAACCAAAACCACTTTTACAGACAGTGGGGCCACCATGTGATTACACTTGTCTCACCTGGTTAATACTCAATGTTTAGGTTAATTGCCGTGGACCAGTGCAGTAGGAGCAGGAGACAAGTTTCAGGGATGGCAGTTCTGGCGCAGGGTGGACAAGGATGAGGTTGAGTGACAGATAGACACGACTTCTAGGAGTAGATATCTGAATGTAATTTATTTTTAAGAGTGCAGAGCATTTATACAGTTTTTCTTGGCAAGCAAATAAATATAGGGGTACAATGATTTTTTCAATAGAGGCATGACAGGTAATACATTCATTTCTTTTTGTTTCTGAGATGTTGCCAGGGACCTGAAAACCAACTTGGGGCCCTAGGAAATCACCGTGTATTCAAGGTTCAGTGCTGTTAAACAAATACTCTATCTATCACCTATGCCTTTCTAATCCTTTTAATTACTCTCTCCATTCATTTCACAAACCACCTGGTATACAGGAGTTAATTGTATAATAATATTAAAGATTGTAAGGGAGTTTCTCAGAAGTAAATCAGTATCGAGAATAGAGGAAGTTACATTCCTATCAAGAGTATCATTAAAAACGAAGCACAGTATCCATAGCATTTCTTTGTTGTGCATCAACAGAATCAGAAAACAAATCAAAAAGTTACAGTGACCATTCGAGAATCAGCCATTCTTTTATTCCTGGAGGGCCACGTATTCTTCCCATGTGCCCGGTACCTTGACCGTGCCAAGCTCTAAGGATTTCTCACTTAGGCGCTGCGGGAGGGGACGTGGCAGTTAACCTCACCTTTCCAAGGTTTTCTCTTACCCCAGTAGAAAGTCTCTTTTCGTGCAAGGTGACACATTCACATGTAAGTGATGATATGCTCAGGTTCCAGGGATCAGGATGTAGACATCTTGGGGGCCATTATCCTTCCCCACCCCACTAACTATACCTGCTTTCCCAGATTCTGTTGTTTTGTCAGGAAGCAGTATCCAGTCTTCCTTCCCTGCTGATGGTCCAATGTGCTGAGTGGCGTGCTCATGGAGCCCTGTCTCCCCCTTTCCCTTTCAGAGTTCCCGGCCCTCAGGCTGGTGAGCGAGCATCAGGACTGTGCCGGGTGGCTGGAAGTTTTCTACAACGGGACCTGGGGCGGTGTGTGCAACAGCCCCATGGACGCCGTGACCTTGTCTGTGATCTGCAGACAGCTTGGCTGTGGGGACAGCGGGACCCTCAACCCTTTGGTTGCTGTTAGGGAAGGTTCTAGACCCCGGTGGGTAGATGGAATCCGGTGTCGCAAGATGGATACCTCTCTCTGGCAGTGTCCTTCTGACCCTTGGAAATACAGTTCGTGCTCTGCAAGAGAGGAAGCTTCTATCACGTGTGCAGGTGAGTGTAGAATGTGTCTATCTCTACCCCATAGGTGGTTGTTAGTGATATTTTATATTTTCAAATCTAGGTCATACATTTAAGTTATGTCTTACATTTAAGTTATGTCTTTAAAATGAAGTGGATACATATTTAACCACATGCTCCCAATCCTGTTTCAGAGGAAAATATAAGGAAACTTGTGCTAACTGCAGCTCATGTGAAAAATACCAGGTTGATTATAGTGAACCTGTGGGAGCACAATAATCCTGTGATAGTTTCTAAGGAATTCTCATTAATGAGGACTAGCTAGGCTATGCTGAATATCTTGCAATGAGTAAAAGTCAGGTCCCCAACTCTTATGCTCATGGATTTTTGCATCAAAATGCATCTGTACTATTCAGACTCCTGCTGGCAAAGAGTAAACTGTGTCTTGTAGAGTCAAAATTACACTCCAGGTCAGAAGACAGAAAGGAGAGAATATATAATTTTTGCCTTCATGGGACATAATATCCCAGGTGGAAAGCTCTCCTTAGGCAGAGGTTTCCTGTCATGAGGGTTAGGAAGGGCTGTTGCAGTGTGTTTGTTTGATGGAGACTTGATGGATGAAGAAGAGTATTATCAGGACAGAGGTGGGAAGATTGTCCCATTTCTTCATGTAAATACTGTCAGTGTAAATACTGGGTTTTGAGGAAATTTTGTCATGTCAAGAGGAGTGGGAGGATGGGGAGCAGACCAGGGGACCCTAGCAGGCAGAGCAGAGGGAGATGTCTTGTGGGTAGGAATCAAAGGAACAGTTCTGTCAAACTGGAGTTAGTTTACCCTTTGGCTGTCACTGCTGAGAGAGCAATGACCTGGATCTCCAGCTTTTTCTCCTTGCAATGATCACGTCTAAGAGGTGATTGGAATTCCAGTTTTCTTAGTTTCTCTGTTATTGTTCCTTTAAAAAGTGCAAGTGAAGTGTTGAATATGTATTATTTCCCTGTGTTCTAGACTTAGTTTTTACATGTCTACTTTTTTAGGACCACAGACAACTATATGATTTTGTATTTTCTATAATAGTTTGCTCATAAGTAATAACTTAAAGGAATTCTACTTCACGAGATTTTCGTCATCCATTCATTCAGTTCAGTGAGATTGATGAACCCCCTCCCCCCTGCACCTACAGAAGTTTCTGACTCACAGAATTGAGTGAAGTTTTGTGGGACACCAGGCACTGAGCTTAGAGCAGAGGCCCAGGTGTGAGTCGGCGTGCAGGATCTTTCCTGTAGCAGAGCTGCCTCAGTGTGTGCGTGTATGTGTGTGTGTGTTAGCCGTGGCTTGTGGGAAGTGATAGGCAACCACAAAGATAACATGATTTCACTGCTGGTGAGGGTAAGCTCCAGGGAGTGCCAATCCTCGGCCATTAGGTTAACTAGGAAGCCCGTGTTTCCCCTCGTCATTTAGTCTGAAGCAGGTGAACTTGCTTGAGAGCAGAGCACCCCCTCCTGTGGCTGACCCAGGGCTCCCCCTTCCCCTTTGCAGAAAAGAGGCCCAAGAGCTGTCCATCTGCCGCCCCCTGCACAGGTACCTCAGCCCCTCCCAGCCCCGGGTGCCCTGGGCGCCTCCCCCGCCCGCCCTGACAGGGGCCCTGGCCTTGCAGACAGGGAGAAGCTGCGGCTGCGGGGCGGAGACGGCGCGTGCTCAGGCCGCGTGGAGGTGTGGCACGCAGGCGCCTGGGGCACGGTGTGCGACGACTCCTGGAGCCTGGCCGAGGCCCACGTGGTGTGCAGGCAGCTGGGCTGCGGCTCGGCGCTGGACGCCCCGCGGGCGGCGGCCTTTGGCGCTGGCAACGGCAGCATCTGGCTGGATGAGGTGCGCTGCAGGGGCGGGGAGCCCTCGCTGTGGGCCTGCCCTGCGGCTCCCTGGGGCCAGAGCGACTGCAAGCACGAGGAGGACGC